CCCCTCCCCCAGCCAAGACCCCCTCCCTCATCATAGCACAAAATTTTTACATTAGTATTTTTTTTTACTTTTAACTTTTACTTTTTATTAGTTTTTTATAAAATATATTTTGATCCTATTCTTTCTCCTTCCAGGTAGTACCCATCTCAGTATCTACTCAGCTTTCTGTTTTTTGTACTCACTCTCTCTAAAAACAACAAAAAAAGAAAAGAAAAGAAAAGAAAAGAAAAGAAAAGAAAAGAAAAACACATAAAACACAAAATGAAATAAAACTCCAATAAGACAAAATGTGTCAAAATGAAATAAAATGATTGCCAGACAAAAGTTGGGAACATGGGGGGGGGAGGTGGGGAGAGAAGGGAGAAGGGGAGGATTGGAGAGAGCTTAGAGGAGTGAGATGGTTGAGATGGAGGAAGGGCAGATATGGGAGCAGGGAAGAAGATATCTTAATTAAGGGAGGCATTGTGGGGTTGGCAAGAGGCTTAGAGGGTGTGCATCCAAAAAGACTAGGATCCCAAAAAGCCAGTACATGCTGTAGAGACAAATCCCTGTGCCATTATCATTGGCTTCTCAGTCAGCCCCCATTGTCAGCCACATTCAGAGAGTCTGGTTTGATCACATGCTTGTTCAGTCCCAGTCCAGCTGGCTTTGGTGAGCTCCCAGTAGATCAGTCCCACTGTCTCCATGGGTGGATGCACCCCTCAAGGTCCTGACTTCCTTACTCATCTTCTCCCTCCTTCTGCTCTTCAACTGGACCTTGGGAGCTCAGTCCAATACTCCGATGTGGGTCTCTGTCTCAATCTCCATCAATCACCAGATGAAGGTTCTATGGTGATATGCAAGATATTCATCAGTATGACTATAGGACAAGGCCAGTTCAGGCACCCTCTTCCTTACTGCCCCAGGACCTAGCTGGGGACATCCCCATGGACACCTGGGAACCACTCTAGAGCCAACCCTAAATTAAGATATCTTCTTTCCTGCTCCCACACCCTCCCTTCTTCCATATCAACCATCCCACTCCCCCAAGCTCTCCCCAATCCTCCCCTTCTCCCTTCTCACTCCCCCTCTCCCCCTCTCCCCTTCCCCATACCTCAATCCCACCCCCATGCTCCAAACTTTTGCCTGGTGATCTTGTCTGCTTCCAATTTTCAGGAGGATCTATATATGTTTTTCTTTGTGTTCATCTTATAATTTAGCTTCTCTAGGATCTCAAACTATAGGCTCAATGTCCTTTGTTTATAGCTAGAATTCACTAATGAGTGAGTACATACCATATTCATGTTTTGGGGTCTAGGTTATCTCATTCAGAATAGTGTTTTCTATGTCCATCAATTTGCATGCAAAATTCAAGATGTCATTATTTTGAGATATCATCATTAGCCATTAGTCAGAATGGCTAAAATCAAAAACACCAATGATAACCTATGCTGGAGAGAATGTGGGGTAAGGGTAACACTCATCCATTGCTGCTTGGAATGCAAACTTGTGCAACCACTTTGGAAATCGGTGTGGTGGTTTTTCAGAAAATTGAGAGCCAACCTACCTCAAGATCCAGCAATACTTCTTGGGAATATACCCAAAAGATGCCCAGTCATACTACAAAAGCATTTGTTCAACTATGTTCATAGCAGCATTATTTGTAATAACCAGAACCTGGAAACAACCTACATGGCCCTCAATGGAAGAATGGATAAAGAAAGTGTGGCACATATACACATGGGAAGGTCTTTTTTAAACATTTGCTATTGACATATTTGTTACTTATGTGTTTGCATATTATGAATATGTATAAATATGACTATCTCAGTTCATATTTGAAGTTTGTGTGTATATGGTTTCAAGGCTGATCACACTGCATTGCACAACCAATAAAGGAGTTCATCCACAGAAGTAGGCTTTCAGCCTGATTCAACAGTTGTTGGTTACCACAATCGTTTGAGTGCCACTTACTGAACACTTATGGATATCTTATCATGCTGGTAACTGGAATGATTCATAGATGTTCCAGATGCATAGGAATCTCTGATTACTTCCCTCCTGTGGCAAATTGAATAGTATTTTCTGGAACCATGGAGACTTTATCTCA